AAGCGAGATTGGGAGAGGGAGGAGAGAGGCGAGTGAGAGAGGGCAGAGAGTGGGAGAGAGGTGAATTGTATATGTATATTGGTTAGATAATTGTATATTATACATATGTATTTGTATATTCTGGTGAATTATACATATACAAACGTGGTTAATTATACAAACTCGAAGTCAACCCGCGTAATTAATGTATAATGTTAGTCGCGAGTGGTAATTATAGCAAACTATAGCTATGATGAGTAATTAAGTAATATAAGTTTGCTTAACCGCGTAATTTTCCCTTTTCGATATGTATCAACGGTTGGTTTTTAAAAAGATAGGGTAGCGAAAAGGGTTAAAAAGGTCTCTTTTTGGATTGAAATACTTATTATTGATTTCAATGATTTTATTAAGCATTGAAACACTTTAAATAGCCAACTTAAAACATAGAATCTACATAATTTGAAATTTAAAACAATCTGAAATATCTCAACAACTCTAACTAAACAACAATTCATGTTAAACTAAAGAACGTATTTTGCTAAAAACTAACTAAGAGCAAATATATATATATCAACATTCTCTCTTGTCATTTCCATAAAATTCATTTCAACAATGAATAGATACTATTCACTTGAACACAACACTGATGCGAATGTTAGCATCCACTGTCATACTAATGAGTGCAGAACGCAAGTTGCATGGCTCAACGATTATGCTCCGATGGTAATGATTCTAACATAATTTCTTGGTTTAGGAAAAAATATTTCATGAAATTGCTACGTACTGATTTCAATATTTTGTATCATGAATTCTGATTAATTAAGCACTACTCTCAGCAACTTATTTTCTGGTCTTGTACATTTTGCAGTCTCGCTCAGGAGAACTAGGGCTCTTTAATAGGGTGTAAGTATGAGCAACTTGAGATATGCTTACACTTTTTTTCTGCTGTCTAACTCATTTATCTATATGCACGTTTAATGTTCATGTACCAGACAACGCGAGTTATCATCGAGCAGAAATTGGAACTAACGTAGCCAAAATTTTCTGTCTCCAATGTAGAAAGATGATCGGGTGGAAAGTTGTAAGATACTAATATTCAAGAATATTTTGTTGCTTTTTAAACAATAACACTGAATTTTTTATTTCTCCAAATTGGAGTCCGCCGATAGCACATGTATGTTAGAGAAGGAAAATACTGTATGAGATTGTAAGTTTCTAATTACCAATTCGCAAATTAAGACTGTATGACTTGTAAGGGTTAATACAAATGAGTATTTTGTGGCAGGGACAAGCTTACTTTTTCGAATCATATACTGTTGCTTCGTTCAATTGTGGAACAAAATTTCCAAGCTAATGAGGAAAATGCAGATCAAGATGGAGACGCTAATGAACAAGAAGTGGGCACTAATGAGAAAAATGCTAATCAAGATGGAGGCAGTAATAATGAACAGAATCATGATCAACTCCAATGAACTGAATGAAGATGTAGACCAACTGGGTGATGAAAATGCAGAGACATTGATATTCTGCTTAGTTTGTTTTTAATTTCTTGATACAAGTCATCTGTCAAGCATTTTAGTATTATCGACTGGTTAAAAGTTACTACTTGATTACTGATATTTTTAGTTGGAATAAACCAATTGACACTGAACTTTTTTTCATGTTTGAGCTCGGGTACTATATGCTGCTTAGTTTTATATTTCTTGATACAAGTCATCTGTCAAGCATTTGAGTATAATTGACTGGTTAAAAGTTAATACTGGATTACTTAGATTTTGCTTGATAGTAAATGCTACTAGAATATCTAATTAACTAATGTGCCAGTGCTCATATTATATATACTACAGGTTTCTGTTTTCTGCTGTCTAATATATTGCAAATATGTAACCTTCTGAAATCTGTACAATTGCAATGTAGATATGCACAATTATTGTTCTTATGTATACTGAGCCAAACAATCATATTCGGTTTGATTTTCTTTGTTTACTCCGTCGTTTCAGTATTCCTCAAATCATTTTTTATCGCCTACATTTCACTCCTCCATTAATATCTCCCTCTGATTTTACCTGTTTCTTCTTAATTTTAATTTAAGCAAGTAGAGGGGGGAAAAGGAAACATTATTGGCTATATTCTCTGTACAATTTTAAGTGGGTGCATATGTGTGTAAGGATGCAAAATAAAATATAACTATGACTTTAATAGTTTTGGAGGGAAAATGGATTGAGAATTAACCGTAAATTCAAGAATCAAGAAGTGACATTTATATATATATATATATTCAACATTCTCTCTTGTCATTTCCACCAAATTCATTCTTCTGCATTTTTTCATTTTGAGCAGTGCATCTCTTCTCTCCTGAGTTACTTCTTCTTCATTCAACAAATATGATATGCTATTCAGTTCAACTCCAGGATGTTATCCCTCTTTATCATACCATTCACTGTCGTAGGTGCGGAAATCAAGTGGCATGCACCCAAGATTATATTCGATTGGTAAGGATTCAAATATTA